ATGTAGAATCCCTTAAATCTTAAAATAATATTGAGGAATGTTGTAGTTAATGATGGTGATTTATTGTTGGATGTACAAAGGGTTAAGTGACGGCATTCTAGTTATTTTGACAATGTGGTCTGTACTAGACATGCACCACTGCTAACTGTTATCAAACTAAAAATAGTTTAGTAATGAATCTGGTGATAGCGTTAAATGTCATGTGACTTATTTCATGTCTAGTCTCTGGACAGAGCCGAACCTGTTTATTTATTTATGAATATGGTTCATACATAAATTATTAACAATTGTGGGATTTTATAACAAGTGGAGTTGTAGTCACATGATAGAATTTGAAAAATTACTGACTGTGCAATATTGACCAGAGTTTTAAAAGTATTGAGAAATTATTCTCATAATCATATTTTCTGTTAGATTTGTTAATTATTGTAAGATATAATGATTTTGGTATTTGTCTCTTTTAGCATCCAACACTTTGTGCATTTCAATGGGTTTTTTATGTCATCAATGTTGTTATGCATGATGACACAATTTGCCTAACTCTGCAACTTCCAAAATGGCTGCCAAATTGACCCCAATCTATATGCTGATTTGTGACAATAGGTATTGATATGCAAATGAGGTACACCTGAGGCCCGTAAACAATCCAAGCAAAAGAGCCAAAATTGATACAAGGTTAAACACATTAAGAATTAAGAGTTTGGAACAATGGTTCCATTCATTTGTCTCTTATTACAGGCCATGATAAATGGACTGATCCATGGTGGTGTATGTCTGGACCATTACTCCAAATGATACCCTAGTATATTTAGATATCCATGGCTACTTGACATACTTTTCACATACCACTGCCAGTATTCTTAATGGATAAGTAAACGACCTTTAGATACTGTAAACCATAAAAAGTTCGCCATCAGTTGGACGGCATTGAGGCTGCTTAATTGCTCGTATGAAGTCACTGCAATTCCCTGCAAAATGAGGAACCAAATAATATTCCACTGCAACATAATTTTTTTCTGTTTCGGAAAATTAAAACATTTTTAATACTGGTATGTCAGATTGATTGGTCTGGATGTAAAAAACAATAATAGTAATATAAGGTTATTGCGAAGACACCTCAGAGTATGCATAAAGACAGTACAGCAGCAGTATCGACCAACACGCAGCGGAGGTCAATGCGACAGCTCACTGTCTGAGTGCATACTTTGAGGTGTCTTCAGAATAACCTTATTATTATACATCTTTCCCTTCCAATGATACACCTTGGGAATGCTGAAATCCAAAATGTTTAGAACAGAATCAGCGAACTTCTTTGTATGGAGTCCGGTCAAACCCTGGTGGCAGCCATCTTTGTTTTTATTATTTGAGGACGCTTACGCGTGCAATCATTCCATATTTGGAATTCGCATTTTCTAATATGGTAGGATGAAAATACCCCATAAAATACTGCACAATTACGACACGCTGAAACTTATGGCGTTACGGTGACAGATGTATAATAATAGTATATATACAATATAGTATATATATAGTATAATAGTATATGTACATTCTTGTATCTTTAGAATTAATACATTTTATTTGTACTACAATATAGCAATCACAAAATTGTGAAAAC